GTCCGTTCGAAGTTATGGTGGCCCTTGGTTGACAGAGATGTCGAAAGATTTGTGAAATGTTGCCGTGAATGTTTATTAGTATCAAGACCAAATCAGCCAGCTCCAATGAACAGGCGTGCTCTTCCAGAAGGACCTTGGCTATGTTTAGCGATGGATTTGTTGGGACCGTTGCCAACTCATGAGTATATATTTGTCGTGATCGATTATTATTCACGATACTATGAGCTGAAATTTCTTAAAAAAATAACGTCAACGGTAATAATTGATATTTTAGATGAAATGTTTTCTAGATTGGGTTATCCTAAATCTATTACTGCTGATAATGGGCGGCAGTTTGTGAGTGATGAATTTAAAAGGTTTTGTGTTGTGAATGCTATTGAGCTTATGACTTCCCCACCATATTGGCCACAAGCGAATGGCGAAGTGGAGAATATGAATCGTTCGATCCTTAAACGATTACAGATCGCTCATTCGCAAGGAGCAGACTACAAAAAGGAGATACAGAAGTTCATTTTCATGTATAATGTCACTCCTCATGGTACTACGGGAAAAGCTCCATCTGAATTATTGTTTAATAGATTGATACGTGATAAAATACCATCCGTTCACGATATTAAAGAGGATGTATTGGATTCGGAGGCTAGAGATCTGGACATTTTGAATAAAGAAAAAGGAAGGGAAAGAGGGGATAAAGATCGCGGAGCGAAAGTAAGCGAAATCAAAGTTGGAGATAAGGTTCTTCTTCGGAATGTATTGTTTCCGAATAAGCTGACAACTAATTTTGATGCTGCGGAGTATGAGGTGGTTGGCCGAAATGGAAACGATGTTACAATTCGGGGCAATGGCAAAGTTTTTCGGCGAAATGTAAGTCATGTAAAGAGGATTCCCACTCCCGACGGATTACTTTCAGAGCATTCAGGATCAGGTGTTGAATCTTTAACCTCTACGACAACTAGGGATGGGCAAGACGAACAGCGACAAAATGGTAATCCAAAATTGACCTTGAAGCTGAAAAATATTGGAGGGATGTGGAGATCTAGCAGGCCAGAATAAAAATATCTTTTGTGTTTTGTCAACTGTTTGAAAAGATTGTTTCATTACATTTTTATCGTTAAAACGTATATGTATTTTTCTATGTAAAATTATAAATTGATTGAATAAAACTCTTTTATATAACTGCTATTTAAAGGAAAACTACAAACGTGGGTTGTTACAGTTTGCATACAAACCGGTTTCGGCATTGTGCCATCTTCAGTGTCATTTTTCGTTCCAAAATAAATCATCTTACCACCCTGTCGGAAAAATCAACCAACACCAACACCCAAATTTTAAAGTTTTTTTTAAACGTTGAATGCAATTTCATTAGATAACGACATTCTTTTAGAAGAGTCCTGAGTTTTTTCTTTAGCGACCAAAAAAAAATTAAAAATGGTTTTCCATTGTTTTGGAGTTACCGATTCTTTCTTTGAGAAATTCGCCCACGATTAGCTGTCGATAGATAAAAAGTTTATTAAGCCGAGCTTAACAAGTCTGTTTGTGCCCAGGCATTACCGCAGGCGCAGTTCGGCTGATGGCAGCGGATATTAGACTTATGTATGTCATTTACATATTTTCGCATTGGTTTGACGTGTTCCTTACCATCTCACTTACTTTGGCGCTTTCTCAAACTTCGATTAAGGTCTGTATCTTTTGCAGGATATCACCATAGGCATCTAGATTTCCGTCTTGCCAAACTTTTTTTTAATCTTGTATAGGCTCTTCTACATATGTACATATGTTCTACAAACTAATCGAGTATCGATATCTCTTTCGAACGCCTCCTTTTCAATATTTGATTGCTATTCTATATGGAAGTGACTACAAAAGAGTGGGGTTTCCTCCAAGACCTACATTTTTAAATTATTACATTCAAAGAAAGGTGGTTTGGAAGATAGGGATATACATATATAAACATGTATGTAGATACTCGTATACTTGATTACATATGGTATGTTTGTATGTATGAACATATGTATGTGTTAAAAGATTTATACATACTCTTTTAGCTACCTTAGGGTTAATCGAAGTTCATGCTCGTAGATATCATATTACACTCTATATACATCTGCATGTAATACATATGTACATGTACATTACATTACATTAGTACATAAACCTAAAGAAGGATTGTGCATTGCTTATAGAATAAAACTGAGAATATGTAAGAAGAGACGACCTCCCTTCCTGCGTATTGTAATCTTTTTACCGTGATTACTGCTTTTTCGTTTTATTGTATGTATGTACGTTAGGGTGCATTTTAAGACTTCCGCCAAATTATTATGGAAAAATATTAAGATTTACTTGAGCTAGAAATTACCTACAAAAATCGTGTTTTATAAACAAAAGTAGTTTTTTAAAATATTATTTATATTAAGCTTAAAAATTCTTCATAAAAGTGCGTAAAAATTTTATCAAAAGAATCAAAATAATGAGATTTTTGGAGGTATTTGCAAATCAGCCCAGCTCACGGAATCCTAATTTTTTTCCGAAATATTTTGACGGAAAATTTTAAATATAATAAATTTTATAATTTCGGTGGAAAAGCCACAACTTATGACCTAACTTTTCTCGAAAAAAAAATGTCACCTTATGTGGCAACTTTATAAGAATGCAAAGAGCACGCATATACCCGTGAAGGTGTTGAGAGAAGAATACGAATACTAGACAGCGATGCACCCTACTGTCCGTATGTGTGGCTTTATGGACATGTATGTCTGTGTGAACATATATACATATGCATGGTACACATATCTAAAAATGCATATCCTTACATAAATATGTACTGGCATTTAACTCAGTTAACTCGTTGTTATTGACAGTTGTCCTGACAATGGTGAACGGCTCGAATAACAGCGGGTGTCGGCATACATACAAACATATTTCCGACCGCAATGGTAAATCGATAAACGTTGAAGTTTCGAAATCCTTTCATATATGTATATTGTATTCAGATATGCATGCCTATGTATGTATATCTAGGCATAAACTTCGGCTCACAGCTTATCTTTGGAAATGCATTTGTTTACTTAAGCGGGTATGCACACGCACTCACATGTGCGAATGATTTCCGCTCATTATTGGTAACCCAGTAAAAAGTAGGATTATTCCAAGAAAATAAACTTTAGATCGTTCCTTTTGCAAGCAATCTTTGAGCCTCATGCATTTTATACTAATTTTTAACAATACAATTTTTTGGAAAAACAAAAAAAATATGCCTTGATTGCTCACTTATTGCTTCAAATGCTCTATGTTTTTGCTGTATTACGGATTTCTAGTTCCAGCTGGAAGTGAGTTAAATAGACCGGAAGTGCACTCAAGGACACCCTGTATACCAAGTATGATGGTATTTATCAGTATTTCTAATTTTACTTGGTATAAAAACAAAGAATTTCGGTATTTTCGGGACTGTATTTCGGATTTTTGGCACTACTCTTCGAGTTTCGGGACTATTTCGGGATTTTCAAGACTACTTGAGGATTTTCGGAATTCTCGGGACTATATCTTGATTTCGGATTTTTGGGGAATGAATTCGGGGCTTTTTTGGGATTTTCGGGACTACTTCGGGATGTTCGTCACGTCTTAAAAATTTTGGGAATTATTGACAATTTATGTAATTTTCTGAGTTGAGCTGAGATGAGTTGATGCAAGTTGAGCCTCAGTTAAGTTTAATTGAGTTGAGTTGAAGTGAAGAAAATCGAGACTGGGTTTAAATTTAAACGGACCGCATTGTTTCCGCTCAATACTCCTCCTTAATCCTTTGCGAGCCACAAGACTATAAAAAACCAACAATAATTTTGTTTTATTTTTAATGTTATATTTTTTCAAACCCGTTTTTATACAAATACACACATATAAAGATTATATTTTATTCTAGATTTCGATTTTGCTTTACATTTATAAAATTGTTTAATATTTAAAATTAAAGAAAAACAAAAAAGGCTTCTCAGAAAACAAGAAACTTATGTAAATTATTTAAAAAATAAATAAAGCTAAAAGGCGTTGACACAGTGAAAATTTACCACACATTTTCTGTAAATATGTAGTAGATTTTTGGAAAGTCTGCATCCCAGAAGTATACATTTTTTTAAACACATTTAAAAAATAATAATAATAAATTATGTAATAAATAAATAGCATTTTTACAAAGAGCTGCTATTTTTAAGCAATAAACTCTTTTTTAAAACAACTATTGGACACAATAATTTTTTAAATATGCAATACTTAACCAGCTTAAATAAGCATTTGTTCTTTAGTCCTAATCCATCCATAACTTTTCTTTTAACTTTAACTACTCTTTTCCAAAACAATACATTAACAAACCGCCTTATTTGTTCTCAAAATAATTCTTTTTTACTTAGACTTCTTAGTGGCTGCAATTTTTTCCTCTTCTGTTGGTTCTTCAATAGCAGCCAGCGCTTCCTTCAAACCCTCAGGCACTTTGTACTTTTGATTGAAAACTAAGAACTGTAAAGAAATTTTAAATGTGTTTAGTGTTAAAATTCTCGCTACAACTTACAACTTATAAACTTACTTTTCTAGGCCCAGATTTTTCAATGTCCTCGCAATTCATTTTGCCACTGGAATAGAACCTTTCGTGGAAAAAAGAGAAGATAAATTTGTGAGATGTTTTTTTTTGCATATTTCAATTCGTAATTCAAAAATGTGTAACAAGCAATGTTGCCAGATTTTTGTTCAAAAAACTGCGAATTCCTAAGAAAAAAGCTGTATTTTCAACAAAAAAAAAAAAAACTGTAACCTTCAAAACCAAAGTGATTTTTTGGAAAATTAGGGTGTTTAACCGTATTACTGAAATTTAGCTGAACTCCAATTTTTCTAAAAAGAGATAACACTGTATCGCCCCTTTCTATCTTAAAAATCCAAAATAGTGAAAACATATCGCATAAATTGCGAAGGAATAAATTTACTCACTCTTCGCTCTGCCGTCATGTTTTTTTCAAAGGACTTTGAAATTTTAATGATATGATTGATTTAAAAAATTATTTAAAAAAATCAGTGCAATGTAGAATAACAATATGGATACCAAATAAGAGAAAAAATCAGTAGAGTTTAAAAACAATAAAGTTTTTTTCGTTTACAAGGACGAATAGGTACCTTTTGAAAATGCGCGTTTAATAAATTTTATCTTTTTAAGTTAATAAAGTGTGAAGGATGAAATTCGATGATGGGCTCGTGTGGGTATTAGTCCTCAAACAATAATTTTTTCAAAAATAAATATTGCAAATTTTCTAGGATATTTAAGGACCAAATTTGTAAAGGACATCTTCCATACCAATTAGTCTTTATGCACCATAAAATTTATTTATTTTTTTTAAATAATCAAATTTTTAAAATTTCAGTCCTTTTAAAAAAATCCTGATGCTAGAAAAACTTATAGTTTCGCGAATATATTCATTTTTGTGTGTAAAATTTACTGTCGCCAGGTGTAGTATAAAGATGTAGTAAATCAAAATTGTCGTTTCCCATAAAATTAAAATTTTGAAATAAATCTGTATATTATTAAACGTGCGATATATTTAATTTATTCGTTCAAACTTTTAATTGTGGAAAAATATTAATGGTCTTATTCATAAAAAATATAGTAGGTTTAAAGAGCTTTATAAAATGACATTTTCATACTTTTCTCAGTTTATAAACCTTTTTTAAAGCTACTTTATCTTTAATGAATAAGGCCATAAATTTGTAATACGAAGTAATTTTGAAAACTGTAATCTTTTTCTAAAAACAGTATTTTGCAGTTAAAACTGTGGTTATGGCAACACTGGTTACAAGCTAGGAATAAATAATAGGGGTCTTCATACCGAGCTTAGTACTCAGTGTTCGGTAATTTTTCCGCATTGTTTGTGTAAAATTTTTTTTAGTATCGGTTTACCGACTACCGAATTATCGTGGTGGAAAGCTTGAAAAATTTTCGCTAGTTGCACTCAACTGCTCGATATTTATTCAATTTTAAATCCGCCCGCTACCGAAAGGCACAACTCATATCGCTAGCTTAGAAAGAAAAGTTGCTAAGTTCCATTTTAAAAATTTTACAGGAGAGGAANCAAGACTTTGAATCAAACATTTTGCGCGTTTAAAGCAAAGCAAAACTCCATAAGAATCAGAAGGATTCGATATTTATTAAAAGATGTCGTATTATTTTGGCCTTATCGGATTTGTGGTGCTTCTTTTGGACTTAGCAAATTTTCCTTTTAGTGCTTATGAAGATGAATAAATAAAACAAGTACCTTTATAATTTTCGAAACGATGAGTATTCAATTCCTCTAGCCTCCTATATCAAAATATGAGTTTTCATAAAAAGTGGACTTAGCAACTTTTCACTCTAAGCTAGCGATATTTATGTATGAGTAAGCAAAATTCATTCAACTTTATTTTACAATTTATTTTTTTGTAGGAGAAAAGCTACGAATCAGCTGTTGATAAACATTATTCATCAGACTAACAAAAGTAAGCCGAAAGGAACGTTTACATATGATAAAATTACCGAGTAACAACTAACAGTTTACCAAAACTAACAAAATGGGTGTGAAGACCCCTAATATAAGCTCTAGTTTTGGAAATCTATATCAAGCTTTTGCAGCCTTCAGCGCTTTTCAAGCCTTCAGTTTATATTTATCTGTGTAAAATGCTAAACATCTGAAAAGCCTGGTATGGAGTTCTGCTCTTTCAGCTAAAAAGAGCGCTGAAAGCCCGAAAAGCTCTGTTCGCCTGGAAAGCTTGGGATTTTTATAAATATGGTTTATACCACTTACCGCACATCGTCACGTGAAAGACCATTTCGAACGATAGCATAGAATAGGCCCAAAACTGCGCCACCAACAATAACAAACAGTGGAGTCAGCTGAAAAGAGAAAAAAATAGAATACATATTACAAAGCTGATTGAACTTTATTTGAGAAGTAAAATTAGTGCTAGTAAATACGAAAATCTTTATTTAAAATGCTAAGCCAAAAAAAACCATTTTACCAAAACTATAAGCAAATTTACATACGTTAATAATCTAAATACGTTACCAATTACTTATATTTTACTTAAAGTTCTGTTACGATATTAATATTTAAATAAGTTACCTTTCATAATAGTTTCGTATAATACAATAAGATTTTTCAAAGCGTGATTTTTTTTTTTTTTTTGTAAGAACTCAGTGTTATAAATAGATTTCTCCATTTCGGCAGTTCCACTGTTACCTGGATACATTTCTTGAAACATAAACCTTTCTTGAATTTCGAAATTAGTTTGGGTAAAAGTTTTTAAAAGTTGTGGTACTCTCCTTAAAATTTGTTTGAATTTTTTTAAATGTAATTACTTCAAATACAATTAACATAATATCGTAAATATGTTTCATTACTAAAAAAAAATAAAATATAATATTGTACATTTCAAAAATTAATGGTTTCATTATATGCGGTTTTAATCAATTATTTAAATTGTGATTGCTTAAAAGTCGCCATCTTTCACCGCAGCAACCAAACCCGGTGGCCAACGATATTTTTGATTGTACGTACGAAACTGTAAAAGTTAGAATTTATTATATTGATGCAAGGAATAAAAAGAAACCTTTATTTTGAATAATGATGCACCTTCATTATCGGTGGCAACTGATTTTTCCTTATACGTGTATAATCTTCATACGGCATTTTGCCAAAGTAGCTAAATATCAAATAATTTTATTTTCGATGTTGATTTTTGTTTTTTATTTTCACGGGCTTACCATACGTCGTGGCGCGTCAGTGCGAGGCGAAGTGTCCACAGGAATCCGCAAGTAACGCCAGCCAATACAAAAGTTACAATTGGTATAGTCTAGAATGGAGTTTTTCAGAATTAGGGGAACAGCAATATGTTTGTTTCCACATGGCATTTTTTAAATGGCATATATTTTTTGGCATTTCAATGTCTGGTGGAAATGCGGTATAAGTTTAAAGGGAAATAAAAAAAATCATAATTTAATTTAAAAGGAATATAATGGGAGTAGATTTAGGGTGTGTGAGCTTTTATGGGTTACCCTATGTTATGTATAGTCTCAAATAATACAAAATATTTAAATAAAAACAATCTTTTCAATACGTTTTCAAATATTTTGTTCTATGTTTGACAATTCAGTAGCAATCCAAACGAGAGACACTGTCGAAATCATCTCTTCTTTGTTGAATATGCCTTGGGTTATTTAGGTGAAGTTCAATTTTAAGTTTTTCATTGAAATAAATAGTTTTTTGGTCTAATTTATGTTCCGGCTTTCGATTCCGAAAAAAATCTCGATTTCAATTTGGCTAGCTGTTAACGATATCTCTGCAAAATTAACTGAAAATTTACTGATGTTATCAGAAAACTGCAACCAAATTTTGCGATTTCGACTCGAAATCGACTTTTGAAAATTTGTGTAAACCCGCATGGGTCTGGTATTAATATCTAAATAAGATTTTTCAAAGCGTGATTTTTCTTTAACAGCAAAACAAAAACAAATGGGGAAAAATTAGTTTGGATTTGCTTCATAATTTTTGGGAATATTTATTCACAAGGAATTCGTAATAAGGTCGAATAATAACTGAATTTTATAAGACACATTTAAATACATATATTCGTGTACTTAAGTATTTTAGGACGAAATATGTACATACATTTTTCAAATAACGTTTGGACTAAGGAAAGGCGAATTTATTGTATATGTATGAATACGCCTTCGACTTACATAACGGCCCGTCTCCACAGGCAAAAGTTTTTGCCTACCAACTGTCATTTTTATTGCCTGATAAAAATTTTATCAGCGGCAATATTTGTGCATGGGCATTTTTATCTTGATAAAAGCATTTATAAGATGACAATTTTTGCCGGATTTCATCAATTAAAAAGTTAAAAAAATATGCTATTTCGCACCCAAGCAAATAGTAACACATATTTTAATAGAAAACAGTTAAATTTTTTCTTTTATATTGAAATATCGATAATGTTTTCTCCACGAAGCTATCGCGCAAATGAAAATGTAGCTGTCAAAGTACCAAATTGCTGGCAATATTTATCAAGATAAAAGCTCTGATAATTATTGCTTGCAAAGAGCAATATGCGGTATCCATGGACAAAATTTTGCCTGATAACATTATCAAGATAAAAACTTTTGCCTGTGCAGACAGCAAGTAAGTTAGACTACAATTCCACAACAAGTTTTTCAGGTTTCGGTGCTTTTGAGGCTTTCAGACATCGAACATTAAGGACCGTAACTGAATACAGCGCCGTAATAATGAAAAGTATGGTTTGGAGTTGTACCTTTATGCAAAATATTCTTCCCTCTATGTTCAGTGTTGTGTTTAGTAGGACGTATTTTAGTAACACATAATCCATTGTCGGTACAAAAACCGGTTTTGTTTGAAACAAATTTTTTTTTTTTATTGAAAACTCTGTATAAATAAATATTAAGTTGGTGCTCATTTCATTATGAAAATCAGTTGTATTTTACCTTTACGATGAATTTTTTCTTTACTTTCTTCTGCAAATAATGAGTAAACAGACCTGTTTACATTCTATTTTTGGCAGAAACATTACTAAGGGCCGATTTCTAATGTAAGCAGTAAAGTTGCCTTTACTAACTGGGCAGATAAATTGTTCCTCACTTTAAAGTGTTTTCGTTTTCTTACCTTACCTGTACAAATAAATTTGTTATTCCGTAGAGTGAAACTTCACTACATTTCCGAGAGTGAAACTTCATAAAATTCCAAAGGTTGGCAATGCAACATAAGCAAATATAGAGCAAGAGCAACTGTTAGCAAAAACCAAAACCTTGGTTGAAATATCTAATATATCTGATTCATAAACCAAAACCAAACCAAAATTTAAAGTTGGGTACAAATTTTGAAGGTTGCAACGGGTAAGCAACAATTTATTGATTCGAGAAATTAAAGCGCTGATGAGAAAACGAAAACTCGTATATCGAGACGATAAAGTGGCCGGTAATCTAAAGTTTAGATGAGAAAACGGCCCTAAAGGCTTAAAATGCGACCTACGTCTCCAATCATAATTTCATTGAGATTTCAATGTACTTAAGTATTCGGTACAACATTGAAATATGCGTCTGCATATTTTGCATTATGAAATAGCCTTTTCCAGCACTAGCTCATGCAACTGTGCGATCCTTCAAACCAATTCAGCAGTATGCGCTTGCGCTGAATGCGCTCAAAAAACTACCTGTGTAAACGAACATGTTGCAACAACACGTATGCCAGGATTGCTCACTTTTCCCTTAAAATTTATATGAGTATAAAAGCAAGGTGGTGCAAACGAACCGAATTTAAAGCCAAAGGAAGTGTAGTCAAGCAAGAATCTTTTTATCTGTGCTGTGAATTTGTTAATTTATCGAGACATTAAAGTATTGTGCTCTTGAATAAATATTGAAATATTTTGCATGTTGAAATCGCATACATACAAACTTTTATGTTCATGAAAAAATAGATAAGCAGTTGTAGTGAAAGAAATAGAAACATAGCGGGAATAGTGATTCAGCGGGTGCTACTAAAACTTCTTTTGTGCAAAAGCAGTAACAATAAATACCACGAATATTTGGTGCTTTGTGTATTAACTCAGAAAAGCAGAATTTATTTCAAGAAAACAACTTAGCCACGGCTTTCATAGTTACCCAGGGCAACCGTGTTGAAAGCGTTGCTGTTTATTTTTTCGACGTGTGGAAAAAGTGAAAATTTCACAGAACTGTCAAGTTATTTACTCGAATAGACTAGTATGTTTTTAGTAAAACGCGGCAATTAAAATTAATTGTTTGTTGCATTCGTTGGCGCGTTTAAGCTCGGTTTATTTGTCTCAGCATATCTGCGTTCTAACCTCACTTTCGTGCGCTTAAAGTCCAAGCAACTGGACACTCGCCGTTTTCACATACTCTGTCTCCGTTATCCTTCAAAATTCAGCTTAGACGTGATTTACACGCCATTAAAGAGGGCGTCACCATGTTACAACACCATCCCCATGCAATACCTCTTGCTGCAGCACGCATTAAGGATGAACCCACAACCAATCCTCCATTTTTCTATCCACACAGCAATCCCATTGATAACGCCGCTGCAGCTGCCGCCGCAGCCGCGGCTGGACTCATCGATCAACAACATCGGGACCTACATAATGCGCTGGTCAATGCAGCTGCTGTAAATGGTACACTGACCAACACAACGGCCGCTGTCTTGAAAAGTCAATCGGTACAACAACAACAACAGAACACCGCTGCCCAACAGACAGCTCAAGCTCAAGCAGCAGTAGCAGCAGCCCAGGCGCAACAACATTCACAACAAAATACAAATAATGCTTCCGCTCAACAACAACAGCAACAACAACAGTCGCAACAGAACGCTATGGTGTTGTTAAATGGTAATGCTGGTGCAGTTGCTGGCGGAAATAATGGCACCACCAATGGTGCTATCATAAAGACTAGTTCATCGGGTCGCTCGACGCCAGTAAACGGCAGCTCTACAACAGATCCAGCACCGGGCAAGCTCTTCGTTGGCGGTCTTAGCTGGCAAACATCATCGGAGAAGCTAAAAGAGTACTTTAACGTATTCGGCACCGTAACCGATGTACTCATAATGAAGGATCCCGTGACACAGGTAAGCACGTAGTGGTCTCCCTTCTAGCGTTGTTGCGGAGGAGAACCTTTTCATTACCTTACTAATTCTACATGCAACTATCTATAAAATCTACGTACTTACTTTTTTTATTTGTTATATCTACTATTATTATTATTCAGTGGCTGCCTACGCTGGCTTTGGGTGTTGCCTATTTCCATTTCTTCAAAATTTCATATTTTCACATGATTTACCAATGCATAATATCCATCCACAAAGTACCTACTGTTAGTTTTATAATTTAATACTTTATTTGCATATATGTATGTACTTGATTGCATATTGGGCAAACGAGCATAGGTGAATAGTACATACCTACAAATATGTGCATATGCATACATATATATATGCCACTGTAAGTGCATATGTGTACATGCATACATATGTTCTTACATGGTTGGCTGGCAATGTACATTTCTTACAAGCTGCTAGCCGACCAAATTGGCAAGCAGCTGCACCTTTTTAATTTTATTGTACCTCAGCAGTATGAGCGCGTCAACAGCATTTCAGGAGCGGTAAGCAATAGCAAACAGGAGAGCAGAACAACGTTTTTGAAGCAAAGGACCTTGTGTAGGTACAAATGGATGTGTTTTCATTGAATTGACATAGGTACGCTACGCAGCTGCACAAAAGCCAAATGTTACCTGAGTTGGGGCACACCAGCAAGCGTTACTCAACTTTCTTCGTTAAATTACAAATCCAAGGAGATGTGACAAGAAATATGGCCTACAATGTCCAGTTTAAAAATTTTATAAATTAACTATGATTTTTCTGATCACATTATGGACCAACTCTATTGAATATCACTATAAAACCTAAAGTCCACCTTAATAAATTTAATTTGTCAAAATCCAAAATGCGCGCATTCTATATAAACGTTTTCACAGCAAGTTCAATGCATCAATGTAGGGCATTCCCCTTGCCCAACTGTTATGCTTTCCTGCTCGTCGTTAATGTTTAGCGCGCGCCCTATGCTACAGCTAGCGCGTCCAACTGAGTCAAACATCTGCCATTGGATTGAATATAGTCGACTTGTATGCGACACATAAAAGGTAGAGGCAAAGCGCAGGCGCAATGTTACAGCTGTTCGATTAAGAATTTGTATGCTTCAATGCTACATACATCCATATTAAAATTATATAAAAATGTGTGGTATAATGTGGCATGCCGCGGCGGCGCACAGTTGGCAATCTGTGCGGCAATGGCACAAGGCAAAGTCCAATCAAATGAAAACAGGAATATAAAACAATGAAACGGCATTTGTTATTGCTTTTAAATTTTTTGGGTTCAGCTCTGCTCCTGTTACTGTTGATTGCGTTAACGTGACTGCCTTTTATATGCTTCCTTTTTGGTTTATATACATACATACATATATTATTATATATTTTGCCGCTATTTTTAAGAAGTATGACGAAATTTTTTCTTCCTTTTTCGTCTCTTTCAAAAACGAGTTTTGCATGACAGCTTTGTTTTTGTTCTCGAAAATTATTTTTTTCCATTTGTCATTTCCCCTGGTCCTGTAGGGGTTTTGTGCTTCAAATTCACATTCAAGCATAAGCACATCCTGTCCCACCTCTAACGGTGCACCGTTTTTTGTTTAACGTTTTGCAGGACACATCCTTCAATTACATATTATGGGTATCCTCGAAGTCTTGCATAGCCCTCGCACGATGCACGGATTGCATGGTAAAAACCGGTTTTTTCATGGGACAGCTTTGCAAACCGTGCGATTCGTGCACTGTACAGCACTTTGCAAGCCTTCGAGCATACCCCTATTGTCTTAAGTGTGCATACTAGGCATGTTATGCAAATCAAGCGAACGTGTAAACACCTGGTTGAAAGGGTATTTCAATCTAAAATTAACTTTGAAAACTAGCTTTTAAGTACATGTAGTCCAGTGTATCTTTTTGTGTGACTTGAATATGAAAAAGTGATCCTAACAGCTTTAAAGACAGAAAATGAGTTTGAAGCTTGAAATTTAACTCGTCAAAACTTGTATACCTTTTTGTATAATGCAATATGTACATAGGCAATTATAACCTGAAAGGTATTTATCATAATCGCATACCTCGCTCAGATTTCAGTAGACTTAAGCTTAACTATCTTCCAACAGAAACTAGTAACAGTAAGATGTAAGTAGAGAAAGTACTTTTCCACTAAGCTAAAATCTAAAAGTAAGCAGCGTTAAATTATTAACATATACGCCGCGAAAATTAATTAATTGATGCTAATAAAAAAAACAATATCCATACGGCTTTGCATTAAATTTAGCGAAATCAACATCGGAAAGAAGCGGAGGCAGTCTAACACCAAATAAGCAATACTGATCAGGAACAGAAAAAATGCAAACAGGACGAAATTAATGCGCAGAAAACGTACACTTCAATGAGGTATGCACAATTACCCTACGTATATGCATTTGCGTGTGTATGTGTAATTGTATGTCAGAATTGTGGCATACCTGAGTTACTACGTTGATGCCTGTGAGCCTTCCATGTCGACCCTGCCCATACACTACATGCATACTACATTGTTTACCGCTTTCAATTGAAAACATTAACAGCAAAAGCGTTATGTGGCAGCTGCGCTACAGGATTACCAGCTAACCGATAGTCTTAATACTACATATATGAAAACGAGTGGCTACCGCCACCAGGAATATCAGGAATAACAAGCAAAACGAAGTTGCAGCCCTAAAATATATGGCGAATGAAGTATAAAGGGAAAAAGGAGTCGACACTTTTGAAGTAATAAAAACGGAATTGAGTTCGTTCGCCGCTACAGAATCCTGTCGAGCCGCATTTTGCATTTCGCACAGCTCAACAGCCGCAATACAAACTAATTTCGCTGTTCGTCTACAATAATCATAGGTATTTTACTACAACATTTTTTTCTTTTCAACCAAGTACCGCATATGGAAACTAAATTTGAAAACTGTAATCGTAATTGTTAATAAGCTCATAAATATACTAAAATTATCTATAGAATAGTAGGTTCAAGTACATATCTACATATGTAAGTAACCGTTTCCTTGCTATAGTTTAATGCGTATGTAATTATAAACAATTAATAATTAAATATACCACTATCAATTAGGAACTGTTGTCGAATTTTTCCCCAAAGTTGCAAATGTATCTTAAGATTGTAATGAATTTTTGTGCCTTTTAACTATCTCATGTGTACCGTAATACTACATTTAAATTCGTAGGTACTCTTCTCAAATCAATTATAGCGTGTTTATAGTCCACTCTGTATAAGTTATATATTTTCTTGTACTAAATATTGTATAAAATACTGATGTAAAAAATTATTTGTTAACAAAATCCTTGCATTAACTATACTCGTGTATGTATGAATATCTAATATGTATCTTAAAAATTTGTATACACATACATACATATCACACACCATCTATAAAAGAGGCACAATTGAATAATAAGATCCGGAAAGAAAAGTTGCATTACTTAATTTAACATAAATCCAACGATTTATTTTATGCAAAAAATTACCAAATTTTTGATTGAGTTTTGCCTCTTTTGAAGAAGGTCTGCGATATGTTTGCTTAGCGCGTTTTAGATGCTCAAAAACAAAAACAAAGAGGAATGTCAACCACCAACGTTGAACCGTAAAATTATTACTTACATACTATATACTGCGTACTGTTTTCAGAAGTGTAGGGTTAACTCAGGTTCGGTAGTTAACTGTCAGCAAAAAAAAAAGAAAGTGGCGAATGTGAATTAACTCTCCACCGTAAAAACGACCCTTAGAGTATTATACATTATATATATATAGTATATATTAAACATACATTGTAAAAGAAATTTAGTGAAGTACATAGAAAAAAATATATACATACATATGTACCTGTGGACATTTGAGTAAATTACTCATCTCCGAGTCTGGTCATACTTTCAGTAAATTGCCACATCATTGGTTTCGTATGAAATTTTCATATTATTTGATAATGACTACTATTAGTTTTCTATTTTATTTAAACTTTTGAATAAACAAATGTTTATGAAAGTTAATTTCTTTATCATCTAAAATCAAAATCTCTTAAATAACCAGCTGTTTTCTTAAAAGTCCACAGATAATATGTACATATCGTTTACTTAATATAGAAAGGCCCTTTCTAACATTTTTCTTTCTTTACGGAGTGTTAAAAAAACTCCATAGAAAATCAAGTGCTGCCAATTCCTTTTAAAGCCTGCTATTCTTTAAGAATGTAATTAGTTTTATGCTCTAGTAGTTATTTTTAAAATCTAGTAGGGTTTTGTAAGCAATCGGCAGACTTTTGTATGATACTGGATTTGTAAAGAAAATGAGTTAGGTCCTTCCTGTGTTAAAGTATATCCCACTTTGTAGAGGGTTGAGATCAAAGTAGTTGGGTAATTTTGGTCAAAATTTCGAAACATACCCTAAAAAATTAAAACTAGTTGCCACACATCTTAGAAGCGCCATAAAGGAATACAATATTTTCATTGAAGAACATATCGTCACCTAAGGGTGAAAGGGTGCCAAGTAAATTTTTTTGAAACTGTTCATAAGGGACGAAATATCAATGCAGTTTCGTATTACCTGCCATTCTGCAACAAAAACTAAATTTTTAGAAAAAAATGGGCTTGGCACCTTTCCACCTTTAGGTATATATTGTAAAAAAGATTGTTTAATTAGTCCATATGTAACCAAAAATGAATCTTTTGTGGTCATTAATTTATGGTGATTTCGATTATTTCGATTTTTTTCGTGTTCGATTCTTAATAAAGGCAAACGGTGAAAAGAGGAGGGCAGGAACATTCTCCGCCCTTTGAAGCTTTGTCGGGGGAGACGGTTGCCCTGAAAATCATATGATTATTGAAACGACAATATTAAATCAAACGTACTTTGCACCGTGGAAGGGCAACATTTCTTTTGGAAAAAACGAAATCACCATTACTCTTCTATTTGAAATCTGTGTTTAGATAGTATTTGTCATAGACTGT